ACACACACACACACACACACACACACACACACACACACACGCAATGAATAACCTTTATAACTAACTAAATCAATACATTTAGCTGATAAAGTTTATCTGAAGGTGTATCTGATGCCAACAATCATTTATAGTTGGAACAATTTTTCTTTCTTCTTTTTGTCTGGAAAACTTAAAAACACACATGTTGGAAGAAGAAAACCTATTAGTTGAATAAATTGACCTGTCTGACAACATGACAAGGAAAGTATTAGTTTATTTTATGACATGAACCATGCAGTTCAGTCATTATTTTTACTGTCTGTCATTAACAAGTTAAATAATGTACAGAAATTTTATTTTGTGCTCCATCAATCCTTGTCTGTAAAGGTAAACTAGAGTTTGGAATCATAAACCAATGATTTACATGGGCCTACATTAGTCTACAATAATTGTTGCAATATGTGTTGTACCTTTGTTTAAAAATATATTTCTGTATAAATCTGAGTATTTTGTCTTGTATTCCTGAATTATACAGGGTCATTGCTGAGATATGTGCCAGGAGGAAGATTCATGTGATCAACATCCCAGTCACCAACCAGCAGATATGTGGACTTGTCAGCAGGACCCACCCAACCATCAACTCAACAGTTCTTCCCTTTGTTGTGAGTCACTGCACAGGTATTTTTAAATAATGATGGTATTTATTTGTTTAATTTAAAGTTTAGTGCCTTTGTTAATGCAAACATAGCTGTAGTATTTTATCAAGGTTTTAACTTCTCTCACCATTCACTTGTGTTTTCATATTCTAATATTTGCGTATCTGTTTTCAAAACAAGATGGAGTTTTTTTWAAATAAAGAGAAGCACTGGGAATACTGAATTATTTTTCATTTCTGGGAGGGGGAGGGCACCACAAAGCTTCACTTATGGCACCCAGATGACTAGCACCGGGCCTGTCTACATGTGACAAAAATACAAGAAACTTTACAGTTTACATAGGAGAGAGGTTGTTTCTTAAAATTTTAGGCATGTTCTATGTTTTGTTTTCAGAGGTTAATTGTGGCTCAGTTCCATCATTCAGATTTAACCCATAAAAGCTCAAACTAATAAAAAACAACATTGTGTTCATATGCCCCTTGCATATAGAAAACAGAATGGAGTCATATTTCTGTGTATTTAAAGTGAGATTCAGTACTTCTTGGCTTCAAACTGTCAACTGAAAATTTTGAGTGGCTGTCCGCACATTCTCACAGCAAGGAAAAGGTGTGCAAACATTTACGCACTTTCACACAACGTTTGTTTTGATACATCCCGACAATTGTGTGGAACCTGTCGCAAGCAACTCTTGTGCGAATGCATCGCTACGTTTACATGGACATATGTCCGTCTGTTTTCTGCCGCTTATCCGGGATCAGGTCGCGGGGGCAGCAGCCTAAGCAGAGAGAGCCAGACTTCCCTCTCTCCAGCCAGGTGGGCCAGTTCGTCCGGGGGAATCCCAAGGCGTTCCCAGGCCAGTCGAGAAACCCTCCAGCGTCTCCTGGGTCTTCCTCTGGGCCTCCTTCCAGTGGACGTGCCTGGAACGCCTCACCAAGGAGGTGTCCAGGAGGCATCCAAACCAGATGCCTGAGCCACCTCAACTTGCTCCCCTCGGAGGTGCAGCATCTCTACTTTAAGTCTCTCCCAGATGACCGAGATTCTCACCCTAAAATCGGATTAAATAGCCATTTGTAATAAAAATGTGTCATTCAAATTATTCTGATCTGATACAGCTTGATCCGAATAAATTTGTAATTGGAATGAATGGTGTGCATGTAAACACTTAATCCAATCATTTTATTCTTACTGTGGAAAACTGACCTGACTGCACTTGTCATCCACTGGTTTCTGGAGGGAGGGACAGCAGTGCTGTAGTTCCCAGCAGCACAGAACTGCATCATTTACATGGGTACAGTCCGATCATGACAAGTGTTTACATGCACCAGTTGTTAACTTTCCCTAAAAAATACACAGAAGAAGAAGTTCTACTTCCGTGATGAACATGAGCAAACATCTTCTGAGCTCCCAGAATGGACCCGCGTCAGGCTTTAATAACGTGGAGACGTTACCGCACTCCCTGGTTGAAGCAGCACATGCTTTATGTCTTACTTCTTTATTGAATGAGAAAATGGGAGGAAAAGTTCTGGATGGTTGCTGGATGAAAGTCAGCAGACATGCGCACTCAGGTCAGTTTTCCACAATCAGAATAAACTGATCGGATTATTGTTCAGATTATCAGTCAGCATAAACCACCCCTCTAATTCCAATTTCAGATTGAGCTGAATCGGGATCAGAATAATCCAAATGGGGTGTTTACAAGACACATTTTTATTCCGAATGGCCGTTTAATCCGATTACATATGTCCATGTAAACGTAGCTGATAAAGAAGGAAGACAAACAGCATGCATTGCTTCACCAAAAATAAATAAATAAATAAATAAAAATCCTCGCATCACCTGTAGCTCAACTGGGGAGTGTGAATCCATTCTGGACACTCAGAAGATGTTTATGTTCATAACGGAAGTAGAACTTCTTCTTCTGTGTATTTTTTTAGGGAAAGTTAACAACTCTGCCCATGTCAGTGCTTCTATTCTGAATAAAAGCCTGGTGCATGTAAACATTCGTCGTGATCGGATTGTGCCCATGTAAACGATACATTCGGATTATTTAATTGGAACACATTTAAATCTGATCAAAGATTTTTGCGCATGTAAACTTACATGAGGGCTGGGGAGAATAACGTTTAGTGTTCATTTGATTGTACAACAGTTTATTTGACTGTATTTTAAGTAACACTCCCAAAGGTCGCTCTTAAAACATCTGTTTACTAAACTCCCCACCATCCCAATTCATTAAAAATTTATTCAACATGTGAAACTGTGCAAAGTGAAATGAACAGAACAAAATATACAAAACACATCTCTTTACATATAAAGCCAGTTTTTTTATATAAAAAGAGTAGCATCCARCTGTAACTAAACGTAAGCATAAATTGTATATACAGTAAAACCATATCAAAACAAATCTCCTGTTTTATATCATTGAAGTTAGATCTGACTCCATAGGATGAGCACAATCAGTAGATATACTGAACACACATTCATTCACAGCAGCAAAAGAAATTTGTATTCAGAATACAGAAATTACCAGTAAAGTCTGTCATTGCTGTTACAGTTTTAACTTGCAAATGTTTGAATATTGCATATTTACAACATATCTGAAATATTATTTAAAATAATATTTAAAACAAAACACAAAAAAAAAAACAATGAGAGCTTGAACATTTTAACCATGATTACATCTATGGTGCAGGACATGGTGTGAGGAAAATTTATTTTTACAGAAAAGACAAACTCCTGCCCTTATAATAACTTTTCCTGTAAAATAAAATGACAGGTTTACTTTGTCGCAACTTCAAAACTTTCCAGTATTTTATTAATCAATATTACTTAATTTTTAAACTCTGAGGGTTTTTCTTTCTTTATCTGCATGGCTCCGTCTGCAGGAACATCAGCACTGAAGACAAAATTTCGTCTGCTGTGAACTAATGAAATCCCCATAYAGAGTTTCCTAAAACAAGAAGACTCACTGTTCCTTCATTTACATCGTTTAGACTGATCTGAGCTTCATTATCTCTAACGCATTTTATGGCTACTCAGGCTCAGAGATTACAGAGGTTATTTCTAACTCAACTCATCCTCATTCTCAGTTCTTCTGGGAAAATAATCCTGTGTTTATTAATAATCTGTTTTTATTTTATCCCTCCAGTCATTCTGACATTCAGCCTTTTTACTTCAGGTTCTTGCATGAGCTGTTCAGGTTCACCACCTTTTTGCTTTTATCTTTGCAACTTCATGTTTTTGATGCAGGTTTGGTGACATTCATGTAGGCTCAAAAACCAGGCAATTCCTCAGTAAATTGTTTCAACAAAAACAGAAATATGAAGCTGCATCAAAAGAGGAATTTTACAGTTTTTCATCTTCTTGTCACCAGATCTCAGTATCTTCCATGAACAGTGACTTTCTCATTCAAAAGAGAGGGCAGAAAGCTCATATTCGGGCCATTTTGTGAACACCAGGTGAGTTGTGGTAGTTCTACAAAAGAAAAGAGACAAAGAAATGTGAGATGTGTCAGAGGGAAAAAAGTGCTTTGAATCTTTCTGTGTTTTGAAAGCAGCATTTTAAGGTATTTAAGACAGAAAAACAAAGAATAGGCAGTTGTGTGTTTAGCAGAGTTTGAATTAGGAGAAAGGCTTCATGAACTTTTTATTACATACACTGTAAAAAGCACCCTGTAAAAAAACTAAAATTATCCTTCATTTCTTTATACTTTGCTTTGAAAAGACCAGACTTTTAATCTTTGAAAGTGGTATTTATCTACAGATCTTTGGGCAAATGTCTTTTGACATTTGAATGTCCAATTCCATACCACAATGAAGTTATCAACTTATGTTACCTTCAGTTGTTATGAAAAAGTTGGGTACATCAACAATAATGGGGCAGCTGTGGCAGAGTGGTTAGGTGAGTCTTTCTCTAACCAAAAGGTTGCCAGTTTGATCCCCCGTTCCATCTGTCTCAGTCCTTGTGTCCTTGGGCAAGACACTTCACTTGCCTTGCCTACTGATAGTGTTGAGAGGGTCCGGTGGACCCGGTGTATGGCATCCCTGCCAGTCAGTGTCCCCAGGGCAGCTGTGACTACACATCACAATGTTAGTGTGTGAATGTGTGTGTGAATGGGTGAATGTAAGTGTAAAGCACTTTGGGATCCGGAGGGACTTGATAAGGCATTATTTAAGTTCAGCCCGTTTACCATTTTACCAATAAATTTGATTTTGCATCAAAGTCTATCTAAACTCCTTGAAATTGGCCTCTGTCTCTTTAAGGAGCTCCTACCATTTGAGACACAAATCACTTCAGAACGTTTTAAAAAAAAAGCTTTCAGGGTAGGGTGATCTGTGACTGAGCTCCAAGGAGACTGAGCTTAATGCTGCGTTCCAGTTGTCCTCGAAGGTCGTGCATTTCGAGTTTCCAAGCTCTATTTTTCAACTGGAACGCCCCCTGAAGTCGTACTTTCGAGTCGAGAGGTCGGCGCATCCAAACCATACCCGAGCAGCCCAAGCATGTGTCATCATTTCAACATGGCGGCCGCACGCATGAAACTCTTTACTTTTATGTTTTTTAGCAGTTCTGTGTTGTTTATTTTACATAGACAAACTTGTATTCCTTTATAGTGATAATTAAAATATATGTTTTAACAAGTCTTTTAGCAAGTCTTAAAAACCGCATGCCATCTGCGAGGGTTGCCTGGGGCCAGATCACAACAGGCTGACACTGACTCTGCAGGCCTCCTGTCCTTCCTGTTGGTGCCTTCCTCTCAAGGAGAAAGAACGCCGGCTGGCCATTATTCTCTGCTTGAAGAGGAATTCCCCGTGGCGGAGTATTATCTGTTAGAAGAGGTGCTAGACATCTTTGATGCTAGGCAGGACTCTGACTATTCCGCCTCTGATGTTGGAACAGCGGCAAGTACCTCTGCTCCCCTCCAAGCAGAGGAACTGGAGAGAGGTGCGTCGCCTTCTCAGGCTCACTGCATTCTGAGGTCAGCAACGACTCCTCTCCCGGCAATGGGCGCACTAGTTAGCGTGCTGCCTGACATTATCACTAAAGCAGCAAAGGCTAAAGACATTCCTCTTCCTCCACTGCAAGCCCCACCTCCCATGATGACTTGGCGGGTAAATTTGCTTTGGCAAACTTGAGTGGGTGCAATCTGGTTTGGCCCGTTTTCAGCGGTAATGGCGTACCTGTCCAGAGCTGTGGCTGAAATGCTACAACAGAAGGCACAAGTTTCTACCTTTTCACACATCATGAGGGTGGAAAATTTCCCACCTGTCTCACCGCTGGAGCCCAGCCTGACGACGTTGTTTGGGTTAGAGTTGCAATTTCTGCCTCGAACCTTTTTAGGCCCAAACAAAACTAGTTTAGGGTAAGGTCGGCCCGGCACACCAGACGGCGGCCTGTGTCTCCTTCCCCACAGGACCAGATCATGGCAAGACTCACCGATCGGTCCCACCAGTGTGCCATCTAGTCCACAGTGGCAACAAACAATATCGACCTTTCAGCCTTTGCCATCTCCAAGAAGACTAAAAAGATTAATATTCTGCCAGAAGACACAGAGGACTTCTGTAATTTTGCAGACACCATCATGAATCTCAGCAGTCTGCTTTGCCCGTATCACTGGTTGGTAGACTCTACTCCAACACCAAATGTGGCTCTACCCACTGTCTCATATCCCGGAGAATATGAGAAAAGAGTTGCTGGAGGGTCCCATCTGTCCAGATGGTTTATTTGGTCCCCAGGCATGCTCATGGACCAACCCGTTAAAGGAGATGTGACTGAGGAACAAGAAATGACTGGGGGTGTTGTTTAAAATGTGCCATAATCTCACGGTCTCTAAACAGCACTTGTTTCTTGTTGTTCCACCTCTCCAACCTGATCATGAGCCGACGCCAGCACGCTGTGCTGGTCGGATGGACACAATTTTTTCAGCCTTCCTCCTTTCACCTGGCTGTGGATGAGGCAGAGGATGTGCAGTGCAAATCCGTTAAGTGGTGCTTCACAATCGCCTTGACTGCATCCGGCAGCAAATCCCTACATGGAATTCTATGCTGAAGCTGACTTGCAGCCCTTTCGATTCGTGCCCCCATGGGTCACTCAAAATTTTCTGTGAGTGACGGTGGCAGGGGTTCTGGTTTGGTCCTTTATCATGACAAATGCAACACAGAAAGTAGAGGCTCGACTGCTCTCTGAGCACAAGTCGAAGTGGCGATGTCTGTGTTCCATGGACAGGTGAATGGATCACCTGATAAGCAAAGGGTACACGCTGCAGGTTGCAGCAGCACCCCCAGGTTCAGTGGAGTCCTGGAGATGAATCTGTCATCTCCACAGCAGACTCTGGCTCTTCAGTCTGAGTTACACGAACTCCTGATGAAAGAAGTCATTTCCAGGGTTCCCTGCGAAAAGGAAAATAAGGGTTTTTACTCTGTATTTCCTGATATCCAATAAAGCAGGCGGGATGCGACCCATTTTGGATATTTCTTATTTCAACAAATCCATCATGGAGGGACCTTTTCACATGCTGACGATTAGACGGGTGTTGGAATGTGTTCACCATATTTTCACATCCCCATCATCCCCAAACACAGAAAATTTCTGCATTTTTCATTCCAAAACGTTCAGTGTCACTTTTCCCCAGAACACAAAGCCATTTCAGGACTCACACTGTATCTGGATCAAAGCTTGTTCCCCTAACGTGAAGTTGGAAATCAGATTGTCCACGTGAGGATCAAGTGTGTGTATCTGTTCGTCCTCTTTCCTACATGATCTTCAAACTTTAAAAATCACTTAAAATCACAAGATTGTCAATAAATTCTGAAAATATTCAGTAAGAGGATCGAGAAGGAATTTGACATTGGTTCAACTCTTGTCATCTTTATTATTTTAATTCAAAGATGATGTGTACAGTGCAGAATCATCATCTGCAGCATCAGCAGGTTGAAAACCTTGCAAACAAAGAAAGCAATAAAAAGCATGTTTTAACTAAATCTCAATGAAAAAATATTAATTCATAAGAGTTTTTACTCTGATATTTTGGTATAGTTCATCAATTTAATCATCAGTTTAATTTAATTCAATTTACTTTTATAAATTAAACAGTTAGCTATTTACTAAAAGAAACACAACCAGCATTTCAATCAATGGAAGCTAAAACTTTCAAATCTCCTATTAACAAGTTTATTTTAAATAATCACTTATTTTACTTTCAGAACTAAAAAGGACCTAATCCCATCAAGATCAATCACTTCTCAGCTCTCTAGAATTAAATTATTAAATCAAATAAAGTACTTGTACTGTCAATTTTAGACAGTAAAATGTTTTAACTTATATGTAGGATCAGAATCACTCATTGCATGAACCAAACAAACACACTTAAAGCAGCATCAGACCAACTTAAAGGGATCCACTATTAGTTGTAACATTAGACTTAATTTGGTAAACATTTATTTTAACTCTAAAATAAAGACTAAAAATACTGTAAGCTGTTTAATTTTGTACATTTTCAAAAATAAATTTTAACACACACTGAGCCATTTTATTTACACGCAAAGCCTTCTGGGTAAATGATGACGTGGACAGGTCCTCGGTGTGAGCGAGCTATATCCACCCTGAAGGTTAATCTTGGACAATATCTGATGATCGACTCTTTTAAATGAAACCAGAGAGCGTTGACAGAGAGGAGAAGGTAGAAATGACTCAGCCTGTAACTGAAAATATRGATGGAGGACAACAGAGCTGCTTCATGGAAGAAGAACCTCAGCTTAGCCTGTAACTGAAAATATAGATGGAGGACAACAGAGCTGCTTCATGGAAGAAGAACCTCAGCTTAGCCTGTTAGTTTGCTCTAGCGCCGACCCTATATTGCCTTATATGTATTAGCTCGGCGCTAGCGGGACAAACTAACAAGTTAACTGAGGTCCTCCATCTATATTTTCAGTTGCAGGCTGAGTCATTTTTGTGTTCCCCTCTCTGTCATGTGGATGGAGGACCTCAGTGACGAGAGGAGAATGTGTAGTGCTGAGCTAATACATACAAGGCAACATAGTGTCTGGGTTAATGCTAAAGCTAACAAGTTAAGCTTGGGTTCTTCTTCCATGAAGCAGCTCTGTTGTCCTCCATCCATATTTTCAGTTACAGGCTGAGTCATTTCCCTGAAAAAAAAAAAAGAAACCAAACAAAGCAAAAAAAATGTACGAAAACAATATGACTCCCGCTTACGCTTCGAGTGCACGGGTCGTAATAAATGATTAGGAGGCAACAATGTTTTTGTTGATTGGGCTAAGTATACAGGAGTTACAGATCAAAATGTTTCACACATCATCTTAGCACCACCTATTGGTGGATGAATGTAGTTTTTTTTGTATTAAATAGCAATGTACACTATTTTTACTATGAAAAACTTCCAAATCTCTGATAATTTTGGCTCCATGAATGATTTTGTGAATTGTTTCATTTAAGACAGTACAGGCCATGCCACTTTATTTGTGCATAAAATGCGTTTTAGGTTTAGGCTCAGGGTGAGGGTCTAAAGTTCTGTGCCAAATTTCATGATTATCTGATAAGCCATTTTTGTGTGAATTTGATTTGTTTATAGCTAAATGGTTTTAAAATTTGGCCACTACCTTAGAACTGGCTCGTGTACTATGTGTAATGAATGAATCAATGAATAACAGAACATATACAGTAGGGTTCTGCTGCTGCTTTTCAGCTGTGTTCCCCTGCTCTGCGGGCTTGGACCCCTAATATTACTACTAATAATAAAAATAATAATATTGTAACTAGAACTGCGAAGCAGTTATAACCAGAGTCTAAGCCCGTTGATGAATGCTGATCTTGGTCCATGTCATCCCCAGCATTCTATCGGCGTATGAACCACAGAGTTATAGGAGTATGTATAGGGTCTATTTGAGGACTTAATGTCTTAAGATAGATTTAGGTCTCTAGAAATAGGTCACTCTATATCCATATGTCCTCTGTCGCCTATTTTCTTGTTGTTTTGTTTTGTTTTTTTACTGGAAGCTGCAGTATTAACGTCCATAAATCATACAACATATATTACTGTGCCATCTCATGTCCAAACCATCTCAATCTGGCCGTTCAAACATTATCTTCCAGTTGTTCATCTAATCTGTTGGACTTCTGATGATCTCATCTCAACATCTTCAGCTCGTCCACTTTTCTTTCTCCACTCCAACTTGGCTGGGGTTCTTTTCTTTAACTTTTTATCTCACTCCCAATTTTCCTGGCTTGACAATGATTTAAAAAAATGGTAAAATGGACTGTACTTGTATAGCGCTTTTCTATCCATCCAGGACACTCAAAGCCAGGATTATTCAACTAAATTGCTCCGGGGGCCACAGTTACTGCAGGTCAGCAGCTGAGGGGCCGATCATCCAGCAATTAGTTATCATGTGAATAAACCAAGTGTTACAAAGATCTGTTACCTTTGAATTAGTTTATTTKGCTGCATTTAATCATGAATACAACATACAGAACCCTATAAAAGTAGTGATAATTAAACATTATCAAAAACAAAAAGAACACATTATGCCTCCTATTTGACACAATTATTTTGACATCTCTTACTTGTCAAATTTTTAAACTTCACTTTCATCATTTTATCTTCAACTGCTTGTACTTTTAACTGTCTTGAGTGTTTATAGAAATGGTTTTTACCAGCTTCTAGCCAAGATTCTGATGTTTCTGTAGATACCAAACATGCCTATGTTTAACTAAACGAACTTAGAATAATTAAAGTAGAAAACCGGGGGTTTGGGCTGAAGAGATGAACGAACCAATTGGTGGGCCAAACATTGGTCACTCGTGGGCCAGATGTGGCCCGTGGACCGCCAGTTTAATAGCTCTGCTCAAAGAGCTTCACACTACAATCTGTGTCCTCATTTACCCATTCACACAGCACTCTATTATGTCTCTGCAAAGCTAACATGTACAATTAACTATGGAAACTAATCAGTGCCAGTCACATTCATACACTGATGGGACACACATCAGAGGCATTAGAGGTGAGGTGTTTTGCCCAAGGAAACAACAACTGAGACAGCTGGACGGGGATCGAACCAGTGACCTTCCGGTTCCAGGATGACATATTATTTAAGGTTGATTCATTGCTTTGATTTGTTTGTTATATCAACACAACAAAAGTTTAGGAACCTTTTTCTGTTTGAGTGATTCACAGGTCAGTGCTGAGTGGCTCAGCAAATAAAATAAATTTTCTGAATATAATCAGGTGCTGGACTGAAAATCAGTGAGTCTAAGAACAAACCTTCAGAAAGCCTGAAGACATTTGATCAAAACCATTTATGGGATTGAAAGAAAGTCTGTCTTCTTATGAGCAAAGTACAAAGAAATAAAATATTACTTCAGACATTTGTACAGTTCTGTCTATATAGACTTTATCATTAAATTATCAAAAAATAAAAATGCCTTGACAAAATTAGGTAGGTCTTTTACCCTCATGGCTGTGGAGATCCAGGGCAGAAACCGAGACACTCTGGTGTAGACGCCAGGTTTCTTGGCCATGGCACAGCCAGTTCCCCAGCTCACCACTCCCAGCAGACGATAACGACTGCTTTTAGACAGGCAGTCAGCTGCTACAAAAGGACCACCACTGTCGCCCTGAATTCACAGAAAATACAGCTGTCAAAACTAAAATACGCAATGATAAAAAACACACACAGATACACACAGACATCAAATAACAGACACAAAGAGAAGAGATCAAGCATACATCATAAGAAAAAAAAAACACATTTAAACTGTCTCTGACCTGACAGGCATCGATGCCTCCTTTCTCATAGCCCGCACAAAACATACTGGTGGTGATTTGGTTGTCATAGTAATCAGGAGCATTACAGACAGCATCACTGATGATGGGGACATTGGTTTCCTGGAGAACATCTGCAAGATGGCCTGTGTTTAAAAATTAATTTTTAAAAAAACATTTACTTAAACAGAACCATCTAATGTGTGTAACTTTCTGTCTCATGTCCTTTTAGGACAATTCTATAAAAAACAACATCTTCATCTTTTTTCTGCATATTTATGTAGTGATAGAATAGAATAGAATAGAATAGAATAGAATAGAATAGAATAGAATAGAATAGAATAGAATAGAATAGAATAGAATAGAAC